ACAGATGGGCAGCAAAGCATCCAGGAGCAGCTGGATAGAACATGTTCTGGGCTGGGTGCAACGGCTAATGCCTGTAATCCCAGCACATTTAGAGGCTGAGGCGGGCGGATCACTTGAGGTCAGGAGTTCAAGATCAGCCTGGCCAACACGGTGAAACCCTGTCTCTACTAAAAATACGAAAAATAGCCAGGCGTGTTGGCAGGTGCCTGTAAGTCCTAGCTTCTCAGGAGGCTGAAGCAGGAGAATTGCTTGAACCTGGGAGGCAGAGGTTGCAGTGAGCCGAGATTGCGCCACTGCACGCCAGCCTGGGTGACGAAGGGAGCCTCCGTCTCAAACAAACAGCAACAACAACAAAAAATGTTCTCTGATCTAGTGTCAGGGCAGACCTGTTCCCGTTAAGAACACGGTGCACTTGTCGCTCTGAGTCCTTTCCGTGCACATCTCGTCGCTGCCTGCACGTGCTTTCGTCTGTATCACCCCATTCTGTCCTCATCCAACCTCGGTGATGCTGGCTCAGCAGAGTGGAACTGCCCATATTGACTCAACACCTACAGGGGCCCAAGGTTCAAGGACAAAGGGACTACAGGCTTCGGAGAGGAGAGGGAAGCACAGCATGCTGAGATTTCAACACCATTTCCTACGGGGAAATCGGAGCTGAGTTCCAAAAAATCATACACACTTCTGGATCGGAATCTGCTGGGAGCTGCCAGCAAGAAATGAGGCTGGCAAGATGGAGTGGGGACTGAGCTGTGCTCTTGGCAGGCAACATGATTTACCATTTTCTGTCACAATTGTTCATCTATTTTAGGTGGGACCACGGTAGTATGGTCATATTTTTTAGCTGAGTTTTTGTTTTGTTTTGTTTTGTTTTTTTTGAGATGGAGTTTTGCTCTTGTTGCCCAGGCTGGAGTGCAATGGGTGCGATCCCGGCTCACCGCAACCTCCGTCTCCTGGGTTCAGGCAATTCTCCTGCCTCAGCCTCCTGAGTAGCTGGGATTACAGGCACGAACCACCATGCCCAGCTAATTTTTTGTATTTTTAGTAGAGACGGGGTTTCGCCATGTTGACCAGGATGGTCTCGATCTCTTGACCTCGTGATCCACCTGCCCCGGCCTCCCAAAGTGCTGGGATTACAGGCTTGAGCCACCGCACCCGGCCTAGCTGAGAATTTTTATCTTTTAGAGGTTTGTACCGAAGCATTTGAGGGCTGGGCACACTGGCTCACTCCTGTAATCCCAGCACTTTGGGGAGCCGAGGCAGATGGATTACCTAAAGTCAGGAGTTCGAGACCAGCCTGGCCAACATGATGAAACCCTGTCTCTACTAAAAATACAAAAATTAGCTGGGCATGGTGACGCATGCCCGTAATCCCAGCTACTCGGGAGGCTGAGGCACAAGAATATCTTGAGCCCTGGAGGTGGAGGTGGCAGTGAGGTAAGATCTTGCCACTGTGCTGTATTCTGGGGGACAGAGTAAGACTCCATTTCAAAAAAAAAAAAAATTTTTTTTTGTGGACATCACGGTAGGATTTCTGAATCTGCTTTTAAAATAAGCATTAGGACAGGGAGGCGGGGGCAGGCACACAGGTGTACACCTTGACTCTAGTTCCATAACTGCTGAATTTGAGTTGTGGTTGTATAGGCCTTTTTAATACTATTCTGGTTAATGTTTTTAAGCGTTAGCCAGACATGGTGGGACTTGCCTGTGGTTCCAGCTACTCAGGAGGCTGAGGTGGGAGGATTGCTTGACTCTGGAATGTCAACACTGGAGTGAGCTGTCATTTTGCTACTGCCCTCCAGCCTAGGCAACAGAGAGAGATCCTGTTTCAAAAATGAAGGAAGGAATGAATAAAAAGGTTTGGATTTTTCCATTAAGAAGTATTTTTAGAGTAAAAAAAAAGAGAAGGCCAGGCGCAGTGGCTCATGCCTGTAATCTTAGCACTTTGGGAGGCCGGGGTGGGCGGATCACCTGAAGTCAAGAGTTCAAGACCAGCCTGGCCACCATGGTGAAACCCCATCTTAAAAAAAAAGAAAGAAAGAAATCTCAGCGATAAATAATAAAAACATTACCTGCATTAAAAAGAAACGTTTCCTTATAGCTATAGCAGGCAACTCCTACTGTATTCAAATTGGAGCAGAATTTGTAAAAAAAAAAAAAAAAAAAAACAAGGCTTGAGAAAGATTATTCCAGTTTCCCAGGCCAGGCATGGAGATGCTTTTGGCCCCAGGGAACTGAGGCGAAGGCGCGGAGCTCCCCGGGGGGCCTGGTTCTCTGGCTATTTATTAATAGACCCAGCAAGGCGGCTCCCCGGGGGGAGCCGCAGACCGGAGGAGGAGAGCTGCCGTGTGGTGGGCAGGAGGAGAACGAGGCCTCCACAGCGCGGCCACAGTCGCAGGCTGCCGCCCCCGAGAGCCCCGCCACAGGCACAGGTGAGCCTGGCGCCCCTGCCCCTGCCTCCGCCCTGCCCGGCCTGCAGGTGGCACCTAGGCGGCGCGCAGGGAAGGGTGCAAGGTCAAGGCCGAAGAGTCCTGGAAACAGACAGGGCGCGGGGCCAATCCCAGCTGGGCGCGCACCCAGGGCTGATCGAGGGAGGAAGTGACCTTGGGGCGGGGACCTGCCGACTGCAGGGTTTCCAGGGAAAGAGGGAAGGGCATTTGAGGTGAGAATGACAGTCCAGCTTCCATAGCGCAAGCCGCGAAGGCCCACGCACAAGGAGAGCCCCAGGCGCCAGAGCCGCCAGGGTCTGTGGGGTGCAGCCGCGTGTCGGGCATGTGTGCCCCCGCCCAGCTCACTGGCCTTTGGGGGCAGTGAAGTCTGTGGCGTTGCAGTGCCTGGGCTCACTCGTGGTCCAGACAAGAGCCAGCAGGGGGACGAACCCCCAACTTCTAACCTCAAATACGTGCAAATTAAAAGGAGGGATGAGAGATTTTTCCCTCCTCCACTCCTCCTTTCAGTATTGGCAAAGATTAAAATAATCCATAACTGGAGACAGGGCCCGGCTTGCACGCGCGGGTGGCACTGGAAGGTGGTCAGCTTTTCCACATGGTAGTTTGGCCTGTGGCGCCAAAATGTCGCAGGTGCCTGGAAGCTTCCCTTCCAGGGATCTATCCTACAGGAGCGCCAGGAGCTCCAAGAGATACATCGACGGCCAAAGCAGCATTTATTATTTATTTATTAATTATTATTATTATTGAGACAGAGTCTCGCACTGTCGCCCAGGCTGGAGTGCAGTGGCTCGATCGCAGCTCACTGCAACCTCCGCCTCCCGTGTTCACTCGATTCTCCCGCCTCAGCCTCCCAAGTAGCTGAGATTAAAGGTGTACACTACCACACCCGGCTACTTTTTTGTATTTTTAGTAGAGACAGGGTTTCACTATGTTGGCCGGCCTGGTCTCGAACTCCTGAACTCGTGATTCGCCCGCTTCGGCCTCCCCAAGTGTTGGGATTACAGGCGGGAGCCACAGCGCCCGGCCAGCTTTTATTTATAGCTGCAATGGTGGGGTGGAGGGTGGGGAGGAGGGCCTAATTGTCCACTGGGGGGCCGCGTAAATGGATCGCAGCCTCGTCAAAGGAAATCTTGCGCTGTCTTGGGAAGGCCGGCGGTCATCTCCGTCCTTCCACGGAGAACTATGTCCACGATGTTAAGTGGAAACAAAACAGGCTTACAGACAACTTGCATCCTAGCCTTGCTTTAAAACAGCGAGCCCGGGAACCGCCGCAAGAGTTAACTGCAGCGGTGGTAGGGGGCGGGATCAAAGGAGAACTTTCGTTTTCTCTTCTAAATTCTTTGGTGGTAAGGACCAAATAATACAGAGGGAAGGGTGGTTGCAAACATGGATTTTTCGTAACCAGAGAAGTAGTCGACCTTAAAAAGAGCCAGGTTCCTGCACTCCAGCCTTTTTTGACTCCGGTGGGGGGAGGGGGAAAAGCCGTGTTTATGAGTTTTATGAACATAAAAGGTTTAAAAGAGACTTTGTTCATAAAATCGGTGCATTTATGGAGCACCCGCTGTATGCAGAGCTGCCAGCTCGCGCCTGGAAACACTGCGGGCAATGATAGGGGAGGGGTGGCTCCCGGGCGGGAAGAGCTCCCCACTCCGCCCCGCCTGCTCCGGTTAGGGCCCCTCTCCCTCTCTCCCTTCTTCTCGACCCCCCAGGTCTCCCGCAGCTGCGCTCCGCTTAGACCCCTGGGGTCGGCGTGTGTTCAGTTCCCGCTCTCGGCCCCTCTCCCGAGCTCGACTACAAGGGTCTCTTGGTCACTCTGACCTAGGCTCCAGCTACTCCTCTCCTGGCACCTATTATGTTCTTGAAGTTGGAAGAATTATTTTAGTAAATGTTACCAGAGCCCCCGCTAGGGAGGCGTTTTTATCCCAGCTAGATGAGGAGGAGCCACTCTGCCTCCAGATCGCGATGACGGTCACTCGTGGTTTAAGTCCGATAAAAGTGGTTTATCGCTTTTTTCCTCTTATTTTTAGAGACGGGGGTGTCTCGCTACGTTGCCCAGGCTGGCCTCGAACTCCTGGTTTCAAGCGATCTTCCCGCCTCAGCTTCCTGAGAAGCTGGGATTACAGGCGCGCGCCACCACGCCCGGGGGATCCGTCGCTCCTCAGCGTTGGTGACATTGGCCAATTTATTTCCTGGCCCGCGACCCTCGTCTGCATAAAGGAGTCGGGGGTGAAGACCACCGGGGATGCTCAGGGCATTATACTCGGTGATGCGGATAAACCGCGAGTCTGAGTTAGGCACCGAGCTCAGCTATTTCATGCGCGCGGCCTCCACGAGATGACTCATTTCACGGATGAGGAAACTGAGGCTCGGAGGGCGAGGAATCTGGTCCTAGGCCCCATTCTGGCAGAGGTCGAGGCCGCGAGCACCTGCGCGAGCCTCAGTTTCCCTCCCCTCCGCGCCCCGCCCGCGCCCCGCCCCGCCCACGCCGCGGACCAGCCCTCCCTCCGAGCGCCCGGAGTCCCCCGCCCCCGAGCGCCACCGCCGGGTCCGCCTCAGCCAATCCGCTGCCGCCGGCGTCGGGTGCGCTCGGCCTCACCCGCGGCCCTCCTTCCCGGCGCCCGCCCGCCGCTCGCTCACTCCGCCGCCGCCGCCGCCGCAGCTACAGCACCTCCGTTGCTGACTCGGTGAGGCCCGGCCGCGCGGTGGGGAGGATGGCGGGGCGGCCCTGCCGGCTGCGGGGATCGGGAACGGGCTGCGCGCGGGGCTGCCGGCAACCGGACCGGGTGGGGGCCGCCGCCGGAGCCGGGGCGCCGAGAGGAACCCCGGCATTGCCCCCGGACGGCGGGGGTTGTGGAGATCCTGAACCTGCAGAGGGGCGGGGGCTCTCCATGTCCGGCAGGGATTGGGTCTGGGGGTTCGCCGGGGGTCGGTCCATCCGCAGGCGGGTCCCCGTGGGGCCCGGGGAGGGATGCTCGGCCCTGTGGACTTGGCTGGACGCCTCCGGCCCGGGGACAGCGGGGCCACCGGCTCCCTTGTCTCCCACGCCTTAATCCGCCCGGGACTGGATTGAGCCTGAAGGTCTGCCCGGGGCTCAGTCTGCCTGGGGCGGGTCCGGTGCGACCACTGGAGGGATGCTGGAGCTCTGGATGCCTTCCTGGATGCCTTCGCCCGGGGCCTATAGGGCCGCCGGCTCCTGCCCCTGCCCATCCCACCCGGCTCCTGGAAAGGATTGGGTTTGGGGGTCCGCCCGAGGGTCGGTCACCTGCGGGCAGGTGCAGTGCGGCTGAGGGAGGGATGCTCAGCCCTGGGGATTCGGCAGGGCGCCGCTGACCCCATCCCAGCGCACGTGCCCCGGTTCCCCTCCCCACGACCGCCCCCGCAGTGCAGCCGTCGGGACACGCCCTTGGCGCAGTGACTCCAGGCGCGGTCAGAGCGCGGCAGTGAGCAGGGTGAGGGTACGGGCCCCGGGCCCGCTTGGGAGCGCCCGCCAGCCTCTCCCGTGCAGCGCTGGGTCAAAGGCAGGTGGGCGCGGAGCATGTGCCCAAGGTCGCACCGGGGCCGGGGGAGGGTGGTGGTGTCACGTGGCCGGGTCCGGGCGAACTTGGCCTGCGAGCCCGACGGCGCGGTCAGGGCCACGCGGGGCAGCCCCTGCTCGGAGCCACGCCGCGGCCAGCCAACAGCCGGCTTCTTTCGCTTTGTCAGGAAAGGCCGTGGGTCAGCGTCTTTATAACGTAAATCCATACTCGGCTTTCGTTAAAGCCGCAGGACTCAAAGCTGAGGGCTGATCTTACTTTAAAACAAAAAAGAAAAACAAAACTCCGAGAGTTAAAAATCCCAGCTACCTACCAGGTTAAGTAGATAACAAATATTCCCAACTCGGCACAGGGTTTCGGTTCCTCTCTGCTCCGTGTGTTAGGAAATATTTAAGAGCAGATTTCAGTAGGAAGCCGGTAACTTTGTAAGTCACCGAATAATAAAATGAAAATCAGTTTTACCTTTTGCAACGGTGTATTTTGTTACACAATTTTTTTCCACAAGTGTCCGGTTTCTAGTCATTGCAGATATGCAAGCATGTTTATTTCCTTCTAAGCCACAAACCAAGTCAATAAAAAATGGCTGAGCACGAGTCTTTTATTTATGCCAGGAAGCAACCCCCCTTTCCCCCTATCCATGCCTTTCCAAATTCTTTAAGGCGACTCTGACCGAGTGAACATAGCAATAAATTGAGGACATTAGAGTCGCCGAGAATGCACACCGCTCCAGCTGTCAGTTGGTCTGGGGACCATCAGCATTCACAGCTGGTTCTTCGGGTTGGTTTTACCTCAGTACCAAGTGCCTGTGGACTGCTTTTCGCATGTAAATTACTGGTTTCCTTCCTGTGCAGCATTGCTAGGCTAGCTACTGCACTTGAACTCCATCTTAACAGTTGGAATCAAACAGTAAAAAGGCAGGTTTGGGAGTGCACATACTTTGTATCAAAGTGGCAGAAATTGGCATTGTGCACAGGCCAAAATAACGTTTCGAATTTGTACTAAAAACAAGCCGCCTGCCCTGGAGTTCCCGGGAAGCGAATTAAACCAGGTCCCTTCCGTTGCTGCTGCGGCTGCTGCGCTGGCCCCGGCCCCGGACCGGTGGTCACTGAGCGGTCAAGCTGGGCCTCCAGGGAGTCCTGGAGCGAGGGCTTACTCTTACCCAACCCTGGCCCCGGGTGCCCATTCATAAAAACACCGTCAATTTTCACAGTGAGCCCCTTTGAGACGCGCCCTGGGATCGTGAGCGCGGTGCCTGTGTTTCTGGCTCGTTGGGTGCAGCATCGGTGATCAGAAGCACTGAGCATCGAGCTGTCCCCAAAGTTGGGCACTGCAGGGCTCGACCTCCACACGGAAAGGTGCGTTGCCTGTCTCCCGCTGTCGCTGGGGTGGCCACAGGGACGCGCGCCAGCTCGCTCCGGAAGGTCTCTGTGGGCACGGCGGGTGGAACAGGATCCGAGCGCCTGGGACGCGCCAGCCCGGGGGCGGGGCTGCTGCTGACCTTTCCCCTACTTTTTCTCAGCCGTCACGTGACGCCCGCCCGGGGCTGGGGGGGAAGGGGCGGGGCGCGAAGCCGCAGTTGCTGGCGGTGCCCTTCCGAGGACGCGTTCCAAGCGAGCCATTAAACATGCTGCCCGAAATCTAAAGGCGCAGGGGCGGTGGCAGCGGCGGCGGGAGGCGGAAACCGGCGCCTGCGCGGGCCTAGGGCTGCTTCTGCACTTTGATCGTTTGCATTTTTTCCTTTGTTGGAAAAAATGTTTAGTCACTCTGCATGGTTATTGTTGGCAGGCCAGAGCTTTGTCGCTGGTGGAAGCCTGAGCTTGAATTCCGGAAGAATTGGTGCTTTAAGAATTAAAATGGCTGTTCGAGATTGTTATGTTTAAAGTGTGTTTTAGAGATACTGTCTCACACTCGAGGCCTCAGTTGACTTCTGCCAGTCTTGAGCTTTTCTTGTGAGGACGTTTTGTTTGGTTTTACAAGGAAGCGGGACGTGCAGAGGATGCAAAGTTAAAGAGGGACGGATGGGCCCCGCCGCGTGTCTCATGCCTGTAATCTCAGTGCTTTGGGAGGCCAACGTGGGAGGATCGCTTTGAGGCCAGGAATTTGAGACCAGCCTGGGCCACACAGCCAGACCCCTGTCTCTGCAAACAATTAGCAGGTGGAGTGCGTCTGTGGTTCGAGCTACTCAGGAGGCTGAGGTGGGACGATGGCTTCAGCCCAGGAGGTGGAGACTGCAGTGAGCTCTGACTGCACCACTGCACTCCAGTCTGGGTGACAGAGCCAAACGCTGTCTCTCTCTCTCTCTCTTTTTTTTTTTTTTTTTTAAAGGTGCAGATACAGGGCAGAGTCCTTCTCACTTGGCTCTCCTCTCCAGATGCCACCAATATTAAGTTTCTTTGACAACATGGACAGGGTATGTTTTTTAAACAAATTGGTTACTTAATACAAGTAAGGACTTTTTTCTACTTGCTGACTTCAAATATTTGTTACCTTGTGTCAATTTCAACTTTTACCCCATTTAGATGTCGGGTGAAGGTTGGGGCCCCAGCAGGCCCTGGGTTGAGGGCACCTGCCCTATTTGGGTGACAGCCTCAGTTCTGAGAAGTGTCTGCCTTTGCCTTTCCTTTGTGCAGATTGTTCTTGGGTCCAGGAACGTCTTTGGAAGTTAACAATGAACGGATTCGCGCTGCTGCGTGGGACGTGCCTCTCGGGGGTGTGCAGGAGGGTCAGGGTCACCTTGGAGGGTTGGGCAGTAGGGTGGTTACCGCTCTGCTTTCTGAGGTTAGGCATTGGACACCAAGTTCTTTAAGTTAAGAAAGGAAGGCTCCATACTCCTGATGTTGCTGATTTGTGGTCCCCAGCGCAGGAGCTGGAGGGCCATCCTGCACTCTTCCTGTTCCCGAAGCCCCCACATGTGGCCGGGGCTAAATGCCTCCACTTCTTCCTAACTCACTCTTACACTCGCCTTCCTCATGATCTCAGCGGCCTAGAACAGACATTCAGGTATGTGTTGAAGGAATGACAGAACGTTGGAGACATCTTTTCTTTTTCTTTTTTTCTTTTTTTTGGAGAAGGAGTCTTGCCCTGTGGCCCAGGCTGGAGTGCAGTGGCATGACCTCAGCTCACTGCAACCTCCGCCTCCCAGGTTCCAGTGATTCTCCTGCCTCGGCCTCCCAAGTAGCTGGGACTACAGGCGCACGCCACCATGCCTGGCTGATTTTTGTATTTTTAGTAGAGATGGAATTTCACCATATTGGTCAAGCTGGTCTTGAACTCCTGACCTGAGGTGATCTGCCCATCTTGACCTCCTGACCTTGTGATCTGCCTGCCCTGGCCTCCCAAAGTGCTAGGATTACAGGTATGAGCCACTGTGCCTGACAAACAGTTTCTTTAAGGTTATTTAGTTTACTTCTCACCACGGCATCAGGACACAGCATGCGGAATGCTCTCTGTGGAGTGACTCAATGACCAAAGGACCCCTACCTGTAGCTGGGACCACAGGTGCACACCACCATGTCCGGCTAATTTTTGTATTCTTAGTAGAGATGGGGTTTCACCATGTTGGCCAGGCTGGCCTTGAACTCCTGACATCAGGTGCTCTGTCTGCCTTGGCCTCCCAAAGTGCTGGGATTACAGGCATGAGCCACTGGTGCCTGGCCTTTTTTTTTTTCCTCTAAGACAGGCTCTTGCTTTGTTGCCTAAGCTGGAGTGCAGTGCTGTGGTGCCGACATAGCTCAATGTGATCTCCCCCTCAGGCTCAAGAGATCCTCCCTCCTCAGCCTCCTGCATAGCTGGCACCACAGGCACATGCCACAACACCTGGCTAATTTTAAAATATTTTTTGTAGAGATAGGCCTCAATATATTGCTCAGGCTGGTCTGAAACTCCTGACCTCAAATGATCCACCCGGAATTGGCTTAATTTTGGCAGTGCTTGGTAAGACAAGATCTTGCTCTGTCATCCAGGCTAGAGTGCAGTGGCATGCTCATAGCTCACTGCAAACTCACACTCCTGGGCTGGGACCACAGGCATGCACTGCCCCACACTTGGCTAATTTTTGTATTTGTTGTAGAGATGGGGTCTTGCCATGTTGCCCAGACTGGTCTCAAATACCTGGGCTCAAGCGAACTTCCTGCCTCCACCTGCCAAAGTGT